TCAGAAAGCGGTCACTTCTTGTGTTGGAAATGGTGACTTCATTTCGGTTATGTCGTTTGTTTCAGACTCGATTGAATCGTCTGAAACTTCAAAATGCACGTACCACTATCGTACAGTGTCGGCAACAGTCTAGCGGACCGAGAACTGGCGCCGAATTCCAGCAGAAGCTCAATGATGGACCCAATTTGCAGCACTTTATTCAACAATCAGGTGCTGAAAAGAGCCAGCGCCTGGAGCCATTTATCATGAAGTGGGGAAAGAATCTAAACGAGCCGTACATCGAACCAAAGGATCTAGATGGTCAGAATGCTAAAGTGCACATCAAAACCTACGGCTGTCAGATGAACGTAAATGACACGGAAATTGCCTCGGCTATTCTCTCCCAGTCCGGCTACCAGATGATGCCTAATATTGAAGACGTATGTGTCTCTTTGATAATATCGTTTCAACGTTAAAACACTAAATTGTTTTTCTTTTTTTGCAGGCGGACATCGTCTTCCTGATGACCTGCGCCATTCGCGAGAACGCCGAAAACAAAGTCTGGCACAAGTTGCGCGAGCTGGAGCGAGCCAAGCGCTCCGGAGCGGTGAAGAAGTTTGGCCTTCTCGGCTGCATGGCCGAACGCCTGAAGACGAAGGTACTGGAGGAGGTGCCCACTATCGATGTGATCGGTGGCCCGGACTCCTACCGGCACTTACCGAAGCTGTTGGCCGTCAACTCGCTGACCGGGCAGAACGCCGTCAATGTGCTCCTGTCTTTGGATGAGACGTACGACGACGTGTTAACAGATGTTCACCCCCACAGCTCTACCATCACCTCTCGAACATCCGCCTACGTCTCCATCACCAGAGGCTGCAACAACCTCTGCTCGTACTGTATCGTTCCTCACACTCGCGGTCGAGAACGGTCAAGGTCCATAGAGACGATCCTCAAAGAGGTGCGGCACTACGTTGACGCCGGCGTACGGGAGATCATCCTCCTTGGACAGAACGTCAACAGCTATCGAGACTTTGGAGGAGACCAGCAGGTGGAGGGGAAAGAGCAGCAGCAGCAGGTGAAGCTGGCCGCCGGATTTCGGACGCTGTACAAGCTCAAGTCGGGCGGCATCGGCTTTGACGTCCTCCTCGATGAGGTGGCCAGAGCGCACCCTGACGTTCGCATCCGCTTCACCTCGCCCCATCCCAAGGACTTCACTGACGAGGTGATCGAGGTGATTGCCCGCCACCCGAACATTGCCAAGGGACTGCACATGCCCGCCCAGTCAGGCAGTGATGCCGTCCTCGAGCGAATGCGCCGCGGCTACACCAAGGCCGCCTACCTCAGCCTCGTGGAGCGCATCCGAGCGGCCATTCCCGGTTGCGCCATCAATTCGGACTTTATCTGCGGCTTCTGCGGCGAGACGGACGCCGACCACCAGGAGACGCTGGACCTGGTGGAGCGAGTGGGCTACCTGGTGGCGTACATCTTCGCGTACAGCATGCGAGAGCGGACGCATGCCCACTACCACCTGGTGGACGACGTTCCGCAGGAGGTGAAGATTGCCCGCCTGACGGAGCTCAACCAGCTCTACCGGCTCAGCAGTCTGCGGATGAACCAGGCGACGGTGGGCACTCGGCAGCTGCTGCTCATCGAGGGAGTCAGCAAAAAGTCGCCCGATCAGCTGTACGGTCGCAATGAAGCCAACCAGAAGGTGGTGCTCACCAGGAGGGCGACAGAGGATGGCAGTGGCGACGACCTCATCGACGTGGGCGACTTTGTGGACGCTCGAATCGTCGGCTGTACCTCGGTGACGCTGCTCGGTGAGCCCGTGGCTAAAAGCTCCATCACCGCCTTCTACGCTTGATCGCACACTGCGAAGCACTCTAGTCGTCGGTGATAGCATTGTCACCGTTTTCTTTATCCACACATTCTAATGATCATGCTCATGAGAAGACAGCATCTGGATCATCTAAACAGAATAATAAAATCAAGCAATAGGCAAAAAATAAAACACTTTTTATATTCAAAAAACAGTGCAGAGCACTTTCGAATCGCTCACAATATTTTTAATATTTAACAAACAAATGTAAGAAAAGGAGGGGAAAAGTATAAGAAAACGGAAAATATCAAAATGGGGAAAAAGTAATAAACTGTAAATAATATGTTAACTCATATGGCTTGATATAGGATTGAGGAGTAGAAAAGAAAGAAACTCTCTACTTCTTTCGGCCGAAAAAGCTTTTTCGCTTTTTCGGTTTGGCATCGGTGGCAGACTTGCCCGTCTTGTTGTTCTCTCCTCTNAAAAGAAAGAAACTCTCTACTTCTTTCGGCCGAAAAAGCTTTTTCGCTTCTTCGGTTTGGCATCGGTGGCAGACTTGCCCATCTTGTTGTTCTCTCCTCTCAGGCTGGCACTGTCCTCCTGGTCGGAGGACTTCACTGACTGCTGACCTGCCGACCTGAGCTGTCCCACCGAGTGGCTGCCCTCTGACTGCAGGCTGATCTGGTCGTACTTTGCACTGTTTGCTGAGACCTGCTGCAGCTGCTCATGTCCACTGGTGGGCGGTGAGACGTTGGGCGGCAGACTGCGGTACTTGCTGGTCTTCACGGGAACGTTCTGGTAGGTGGCGGCTGTTTGGAGAGTGAAAACGATTATCAACTACTCAAAGAACATTCTTCACTCAAATACTCACAGTCATAGAGACCCATCTCCGTCTGTCCTGGCTCGGGAATGTGCTCAACGGAATTGTTAGCTCCATTGGCGTACGNGCAGCTGCTCCTGTCCACTGGTGGGCGGTGAGACGTTGGGCGGCAGACTGCGGTACTTGCTGGTCTTCACGGGAACGTTCTGGTAGGTGGCGGCTGTTTGGAGAGTGAAAACGATTATCAACTACTCAAAGAACATTCTTCACTCAAATACTCACAGTCATAGAGACCCATCTCCGTCTGTCCTGGCTCGGGAATGTGCTCAACGGAATTGTTAGCTCCATTGGCGTACGTTTGCTCTGCAGGCGCACTCATTCGATGCTGCTGCTGCTGCTGGCCGTGCTGATCCAGCTGATCGGCCGAGTGGTTCTGGTAGTGATTCTGATGATGACCATTACTGTAACTAGGCCTCTCCAGCGTCGCCGCCTTTCCACCACTGCTGCTGCCCGTCAGGCTACTCTGCGAGTGAGTTGCAGTGGAGGAATGAGGGTGATTGTGATGGTGATGATGTTGTTGTTGCTGGTGGTGGTGGTGGTGAGAGGGCGAAGAGAGCGACGACTTCCGACTGGAGCTGGAGCCGGTGGAGCCGTCCAGGGCGTCCGCATGACCGCCCTTCTCTGGACTACTCTTATTAAGTCCATCATCGCCGGTCATCTCCGCCGCCGCCGCCGCTTGCAGGTCTCCCACGTTGAGCAGCTGCTTGGAAGGGGGCAGCAGCGCCCGATAGGAGATTTTGTTGTGCCAGTCGCGCAGCTTACCGGCGTCACTGGCGGCAAAGTAGAACTTGGTCATGTCGGTCAGTTGAATGCTAAAGACGTGCTTTCGCTTGCGGTAGTCGGCCACCTCCAGGCAGCGGGCGTCGTGGATGGAGAAGGGCGGACTGGCGGCGGAGTTGCCGTAGAAGGCGTTCTTGTCCTTGAAGAAGCACAGCAGCTGCCCGCAGAGGACGGTGTAGTAGGTCTTCCAGCTGCGACTGGTCGCCTTCTTCCCGCCCGCCGAGAAGATCTGCTTCCGCTCGAGGAAGCCCTCACAGGCGACCGGCAGGTTCTCCACCTCGGGGCGGATTTTGACCGGCTTTCGGGAGAAGTTGAAGCTGGACCGTCGGCCGGAGATCTTCGAGTTGCCCTCCTTGCTGGCCTGCTTCCCAGGACTTTGCTGCGCAAACTGGGCAGTGTTCTCGTACAACCTCGCCGCATCCTCTTCATTCTTCCGCTGGTGCAGAATCTTCCGCTGCTCCTCTGCGACCAGCGCCGCCATGCGCTCCTTCTCCCTTAGATTGGCCTCTGCCACTCGGTTCGCCTCCTCTGCTGCCTTCAACTCCTCAAAGTAGCCCTCAATGAGCGTCACCCGCTCGATGGCCTTCAGCTTGTCCGCCTGCGACTCGATGGTCTTCTCAAACTCGTCGTGCTTCTGCAGCAGCGTCTCCACCTCGGCCAGCGACTCGCCCAGGCCCTGGCCGTCGTCGGTGATGAGCGGCAGGTGCTCGTCGATCCACTTCTCCACCTGCTCCGAGTCCTGGATAAACTGCCTCGCGTCCAGATTGTACTCGTACAGCGTCAGCCGCCGTCGCCAGGTGTCGAGGAGGTTGGCGTGCAGCGTCCTCACCCTCCCGTTCCGCTCGCCAATGTCCGCCGCCATAAAGTGGCCCCCGGCGATGATGTGCTCTCCGCTGGCGAGGAAAGCGGTGAAAAGGTCCGCCCTGCTGTCAATTTCCGCCTTGTACTCTCGGTGGCGGTGCAGCTGCTCCTCGGCGGCCACCGGATCCCCTCCTAGCCTCTCCTCCGCCGTAATCAGCGCCATCATCTCCTTGATCCAGGTGAGCAGCAGGCGGAACTCGTCAAAGTACGACTGAATGGCCTCAATCTGCAGCAGGTTCTCCCGGTGGCGGACGCTGCCGGCGGACAGGCCGCTCCACACCGCCCGCACATTGTTCTTCCGCTCTTCAATATTCTCGCTAATGTCGGGAAAGAGGGCCGCCAGGCGGTCCGCCTCCACAAAGAGCGCCTCCACCTGCTCCTTGACGGCGTCCAGGTCGCGGTCAAAGCCCTCCAGTTGGCGGATCTTCGCCTGAATGGTGCTCAGGTCATCGAGGTTGACGTTCACCTCGTCGAGCACCGTGCTCGACTCCTTCTCGCGGATCCAGCAAATGGTCTCGTCGGCGCTCTGGTAGAAGGTGTGCACCTTCTTTGCGCCCTGCAGCGCCTCCTGCCGGGCGGCGGTCGCCTCGCGCAGCTCCGCCCACAACGCGGCCACCTGCGCCAGCTTCTCCTCGCAGCCCTCGACGCCCTTCTTCGCCTCCGCCTCCAGCGCCGTGAAGCGCTCCTCGTTGGCGTTGACGTTTGCGGCAAAGGTGTCAAACTGCTGAATCAGTTTCTCCACGTGCTCGACGTCCTGTTCCAGGAACCAGAAATTAGCTATTAGGCTTTTGAAAACAAACAACCCGACTCTTACCGTTCCATAGTCCTCCGAGTTGGCCACAATCAGCTGGTCCTTTGCCCAGAGCGCCAGCTCATCGGCGTCACGCTCAAAGGCAAAGTACTGCCGTCGACGGAGGTAGAGCTGCCTTCGCGCNCTTCTCCACGTGCTCGACGTCCTGTTCCAGGAACCAGAAATTAGTTATTAGGCTTTTGAAAACAAACAGCTCGACTCTTACCGTTCCATAGTCCTCCGAGTTGGCCACAATCAGCTGGTCCTTTGCCCAGAGCGCCAGCTCATCGGCGTCCCGCTCAAAGGCAAAGTACTGCCGTCGACGGAGGTAGAGCTGCCTTCGCGCCTCGGCCAGCTCCACAAAGCGGTTAAAGTGGGCGTTCAGGGCGTCCATGCGCTCCTCGATGAGCGCCCCCTCAAAGTGGCCCTTCTCCCTGAAGGCGGCCGCCTGCGCCACCAGCCGACTCATCGTCGTTGAGTAGAAGCGATCAGTGTCCTTGTTCACCACTTCGAGGCGCTTCATCAGCCCGGCCACCGACTCCTCGTCACTGCCCAGCGTCTCCTCGCTCTGCAGCGCCGGCAGACGCTCGCTGAGCCAGCTCTCCGCTTCGGCCAGATCAGCGTAAAACTGCTGCGCCTCCAGTGAGTCCACCAGGCGCAGTCGGCGGAGGGAGCAGTCGTCCTTCAGCTGTTGNACTGCCCAGCGTTTCCTCGCTCTGCAGCGCCGGCAGACGCTCGCTGGGCCAGCTCTCCGCTTCGGCCAGATCGGCGTAAAACTGCTGCGCCTCCAGGGAGTCCACCAGGCGCAGTCGGCGGAGGGAGCAGTCGTCCTTCAGCTGTTGAATGCGCTGCTGAAGCTCATAGGTGAGTCGGCGAATCTCCTCCGAGTTGTTGTTACTCGACTTGATCATATTGTGGCCCTTGCTCACCAGGGCACTGAGATGGGGCTCCCGCGTCTGCAGCTCCGATTCGAACATCTTCAGGCGCTTGAGGAGGCGCTGGGTGTCGGCCAGCGTCGCACCGCTGTCGTACTGCGCCATCGCCTGCTCTCGCTCCCTGATCCACTGCAGCTCGTCCTCGAGGTCGCGCTTAAACTGAAAGAAAGTCAACGCCTCCTCGAGCAGCTCCCGCCGCTTGGTCATCGGCTCGTGGATTGAATTGTAGGCGCGGATAATCTGCCCCGCCCGCTCCTCAATCTCCTCTCGCAGAAAGTGCTTGCTCTGCGTAAAGTTCAGCAGGTGGTCCTTCACCTGTTCAATGTTTTCATTGTGATTGTGCACGTCGTTCTCCACCAGCTGGTGCTTCTTCAGCAGGTTCTTGACGCTGGTCAGGTCTCGGCCGCAGTCCTCGTCCCTGATCACCCCCTCCGTGTCCTTGATCCACAGGTCGAGGTCGTCGCAGAGGCGGAAGAACTGCAGCGACTGGTAGGCCTCGTTGAGGCGGACGCGCTTGAGCGAGGCGGCCTCCGTCAGACTGCGCAGCAGCTTCTCCATCGTCGACAGCTGGCCCTTGATGTCCTCCGCCTTGAAGTGATTCAGGCCAATCAGCGCCTCACCCTCTCGCACCACCGCATCGACGCGCTCTCGATTGGCGCTAATCTCCGCCTCAAAGGCGGCGTGGCGTTGAATCTTGCTGAGGAGGTTAATCGAGTCGCGGTACGACTCATCGCCCGCCACCTTTAGTTTCTCGCCCAGCCAGCGAAGCATCTCATTGACGTTGCGGAGGAAGGCGTAGTAGACCTTGCTGTCCTCCAGCTGGCGCCGCCGCTGCTCGGCACTCGCCTGCAGGCGCTCCCAGCGGGCCTGGGTCTCGGTGAGCCGCGATTGGATGGCTTCACTGTCAAAGTGGGCACGCTTGAGCAGGCCCTCGGCGGCGGCCACCAGCTCGGTGAGGCGGCCCTGCTGGGCGGCGGCCAGCGACTTGACAAAGGTGTCGTGCTTCCGCAGCAGGTCCTCCACTGCCAGCAAGTTGCCGCCCAGGTCCTCATTGGCGAGGAAGGCCTCCTTCGAGGCGAGCCACGAGTCGACCTGCTTGCCGAGGTCGTAGAAGAGGCGCAGCTCGAGGCACTGCTTCAGGTAGTGGTGCTTCTCCTCCCAGGCCAGATCGAGTCGCTTTCGAAGGTCGTCCAGGCGCTCGACGCAGGCCTCAATCTGCTTGGTCTTTGCTTCCGAAGCAGCTGTCAGCGGTTTCTCTGCAGTTGCTGCACTGGCTTTTGCCTGATGCTGCTGCTGCTGCTCAATCTGCTGCACCAGCTGCAGGC